ATTGGTTCAACTTGGGGGCATGATACTTATAAATTTTTTTACTGTAGCTTTAAGTTGGGCATATGGAGTGGTATCAAAAGGGGAGCAAGGCTTTTAGTGAGTACCAGGCTCTAAATATATTTTTGCACATCAAAAGGGGAATGCATTTGGTGTGTGAAGGCACTTTTGAATTTTTCTAAAACTCTTCTCAACTCATACCTTCTATGAACACAAATATGATCAATCAAACTGTAAACACAGGGCATGAAGGTTGTGCAATAAGAGTAATGCTAATATTTGAGTGTTCGAGTGTCAATTTTAATGAAAATGATTTCACACTATATGATGTTGGCATCCAAACTAGGAAACAAGTAAATTGATCCTACAATTGCAACCAAGTGTTCAATGTTGAATGCACATAAAATATAATTAAATTTTTTAGTATGTAGTATTAAGCACAATGAAATTAATTAACTCAACCACACAAACTTGTGATCTTTTAATTCACCAAACAAGAAGCCAAATGGAGTCTGTTTTGACAGAGTTAAGATGACGATTGCTAATATATAAAAGGATAAGTATGAAGAGAATAATTATAACTCCTGAATAAGAACATTTACTAAAAAATTACTTGTGAAGTACTTTGGGTCTGTTTGGTGCAGCTGCAGCTTATCTAGCTTATCCAGATAAGTAGCTTATCCTGATAAGCTGCTGATCAGCACCTGATCTGAATAAATTGTCTGACTGTTTGGTTTGAGTGTTTAGAAAACAACTGATTTATAATTGTTTGTGAATAAATGACGATTCTGCCTCTGAACTGAATAAGTTGTTAAGCTGCTTGGTTTCTGCGGTTTGAAAACAACTGATTTGCATATATGGAGAGGGAGAACATCTCCATATATAAGAACAAAATTCTTAATTCTTATCAGAGTGGCAAAGAATATCATTTCTTTCAATTATAGGAGGTACAAAACCAAAATAAGAACTCGAGAAAATCTCATTCTGCAAGATAAATAGTACTATCAGAAGTTTAACAATAAAAATGTGCTGTAATGAAATTTCCAGCAATAAGAGCTCATTGCTGAGAAGAAAAAGGAGAGACAAATGCTCAGATTCATCTTTGAACCCTCAAAGCCAAAAGCCATCCAAGATGTTCTCTACATACATTCCACATAATTCTATGGATGGATTGATGCATATATGGAGAGGGAGAGAGGAAGATTGACATACATAGCACTCAATTCATATGTATTTACACATCTTAACACCTAATATTCAATCTACTTTTCATTAAAAAAATGAAATATTAGTATTTTTTGTGATGTGAAAAATTCAGCTTGGAAAGTGACGGGATTTAACACTAAAATCATATTGAGACAACCTTCACACGCTCCAGCTTCTCTAATGATGATTTAGAACCAAAATCATAATTAGAACTAGTTGGGGAGGCAAAAAACAAATCGGCTCATCCAACATGCCTTCGCACGTTCCAGCTTCACAGATGGGGTAGCAGCGGCTTCCTTTGGTTTTCCTTCCAGCGACACTGGGGTAGCAGCGAGGGCTTCACTTTCCTTCCTAGGGCACCGATCGAGTAGCAGCTAGGGGGCTTCTGCTTTCCTTCCTATGGCACCGATCGGGATTAACAACGAGGGCAGCTGGGTATTTTAGCTTCGGCCGAACGCGGATCGTGGGGTTATACCCGCGATCGCGTTGTAGAGTATAAACGTTGTTTTTGCAAATACAATCAAAATGTGCGAAACAAATGCAGAGGCGGCTTTTTCAAAAATGCCGCCGCACTTATAAGCTGCCCCAAACGGGCCCTTCAACTCATGAATCAACATAAAGTGTGAATCAAGAAATGAATCACCCCAAGAAAACTTTGTGCAAGAACTTCTAGGAGATTTCTTTAGATGCGAGAGCTTGATTTTTCTTTCTTCAAAATGATTAAGCCTTTAAACTCTCTAAACTATCATATTCCTTGTTACTTTTCATATTAGTATAACTAGTATATATAGTCTTAGGAATACTCTAGTAATCCTAACAAACAACAACAAGAACTACAACAAGATTTCATCCCGCTAAATGCCGTTAATATCCTACGAAACATGGCCAAAAAATTACTCAAAAGATTCCTTTTCAATGGATCATTGGGATTATTTTTGGATAGCTTTTTCACTGCTTTTGTGGTAAGAAAAATTGTCTGCAAGAAAAATTGTTCTTTTGAATTACAGTTTTCTCATAATTTTTTTTAAAAAGTTATCTTTAAAGGTTATTTTTGAGAACACATTTGAAACTATAGTTGGGAACAAGCTTTTAAAAGCAGCATGTAGAAAAAAATTCGTTCATTTTTAACAACCAATTTAATTGCAAAAATCTATCAAGTTTAAAATCATTACGATTCCAACATTAGAGATCTAAAAAAATTTTTATCAAAAAATCAAAATGGCACAGTTTTGCACTTCTGAGAGATCTTACAAAGAAATAATTTTGATGTAAAAGTGAGAAAGAGAAAGGACTAGTAAGGATCATGAAAAATTGATAAAAAAAGGCATAGAAAATGGTTTCAAAATTGAATATTTTGATTTCTCGGTGTAACCTCTTTTAATCATCTTCTCCACATAATCCGATTGATGGAATGTCATTGTGTTCATTTATGATCTAATCCATCCAACAAGAACAGTGCACCTCATTTTTAGATAATGATCAGAGTCTTGTTGTAGGGATTACGAACTTAGACACTTTTTCATAAATCTAATTTTTTCAATGAAGATAAATCAATTTTTTTAAGAGGAAAACATGAGTTTTGCTGTAAGGATTATAAACCTTGAATACCTCTCCTTGAATATATTCTTTCGAATGGATGCAATCAATCCTATTTTTAGAGAATTGGAGCCTCAGTGAAAGGATTTTATGCATTGGACACTCATTAGATCTATTTACTGAAATGAGGGTAGTTAACACCTTTTTTGGTGGAAGATATGAACTCTGTTGTAATGATTATGAACTTTGGGCGTCAACATAATCGCAGCAATCCAAACAAGTTCAATTAACTTTATTTTTAAAGGTAGATTTGAGCTTCACCACTTGGATTAAGATTGCAGTTTTCACTTGCATTTGTTGCCTCTTTCAAATTTGGGACTCTTTTCAAGGAAAGAATCAAAACATGTCGGGGAAAGCTTTGATATATTCTAAACCCCAAGAGATGGAGTTATGGGATTTGGAGGTGAGGGGGACAATGAATCTTATGAAATATTGGGACTTTTTTTTCCAAATTTTTATATTTTAAAGTCAAAAAGTGATTACATTCTTTAAAAAAACTTAAAAAATGGGTTTTCAGGGGGGTGAAAAACATTAATGCTAGTCAACTGAGCTCCCATTTGAGTCACTTAGTCTATCAGGCGGTGGCTGATTGCCCAAGCCTGCCTTGTGCGTTTATCCACTTACTAGTTTGGACTAACTTTTTCTTTTTTGTTTTTTTTTTTTGGCTCTCTTGAGATCATTTTTGATGTTTCAACCTCAAATGTGCCATTTTTGGATATAAACAAAGTTTTCTGGGTTGTTTTAAACACCTGGAGAACTCATGGTGAATTTTTTCAATTTTTTGCCCAAAAGATGTGACAACTTTATGGAAGAGTGAAATCACACTCGAGCTGATTACTTAGTTTATGACACCAAGTCAAGTTTCATATTCACGCATAGGGAGTGGTTGCACATTTAAGTTTTTTTTAATCGAGAATTTGCATCTTAAAATTTTTTAAATTCCCGTTTGATTTTTGTACATGCAAATTTTACATGTCCAAAATTGAGGGAGCAAAGAATGTAATAAGAAAACTCACATATTTAGAATAGATTCTGAAGTAATTTGTCTAAAAAAATTCCATTATTTAAATTAGAAACTTCCATAATTTATTGTGGGACCATTTGTACTTCATTGTTAGTTGCTTATTGCTGAATGGACATGTCAATTAAATTAACCCGCTGATGTTGAATACTTTGATCCTTTTAGTTCATATAAGGCTTAATAATCATTTAAAAGTATAATTGAATGTTTCAGCAGATCATTTGAATGAACCAAAAGATCTCTACTTTTTTGTGCAATAATAGCTGAAATAAGCATTTAGATGTGCTGAATCTGATATGCCCATGTCCACTTAAATTTGATATCACTAAAGCATTTGATATCTAGATGATAATATATGATCAAGGGGTTTCCACCCATTCCAATGTTCAAATTTATGAGCTTTCCTTAATGTAGTGTGTGTGCAGAGTTTTTCTTCAATATTAAGATGATAATTTCTCCTGCCGCCGCACCATGTAACAAGTGTCAATGCTACCTAATACCAACCATGATAATGAATGTTATCATATTTGTTTTTTTAGCTAAGCACACAGGAAAGTTTCTCCTTTGAACTCTTCAATTTTTTTTCTCATAACGAGTTTCTCAAATCCTTTATCAGACTAACAAATTTGGCAAAATTTTAGGTTGATTGTAACGCACATGTGAGCCTACATGTATGTATTTTTACATAAATTTTATAATATGAAATATAGTTTGCTGATGCCAAAGCTAGATGTGAGCTCGGTGGAAATTTGAATTTGATCAATCCTTGCATGCCTTGCTACTGTTGTAACATAAAAGTATCTTTTTTCCAGTATTTTGCTCACCCTATAAATGCCACAGCTCAATTTGTAACGGGTATTTAAGATCCATGACGTACAGAAGCATATTTATCCATTAGCTTATTAGTTTTGTTAGAGCGTTGGCCTGTTATTGTGGAATGCTCTTAAAGTTTGCCCTCCCTTGTTGCACCTGCAGCTCCAATAGAAAGGAAGGATGGGGTTGAGTCAAGAGTATACTTGCCTAATTGTTTCTATTCTTTTTCTCTTTTATTTTGTGGAATTCATATTCTTTTTATTAGTTTGAGAGACTACCATGCTTTTTTCCCTCACACTATGGTATTACTTTCCCTGGCCTCTTTTCCTTTGTTTTTCATGATTATACTCTCTTGATGTTTATGTAGATTCGGATTCTAGTAGTACTTCCAGGAGTCAATCAAATATTAAAGCATCTAACTCTCTAAATTTGACCAAGGTATCTCGCTCAAACTTTCAATATTTATTGATATTTCTGCTTTGACAATTCATCATTCTGATGTTGAATCATATGTTCTGAATTTTGCTAATCTCGAACTTTACTTTTAATTTTTATTAGGGAAAGGGCCACCAGATATCTCCAAGCCGTGGAAAAGGTGGCATTGTATTTTTCTTGGCTTTCTAATTATTAATTTACTGAGCATTGCTACAGCCTAAACATCTCAGCTTTATGACCATTTCTTTGAAATTATTTTAGTGTTTTGTTGATAGTACCATTTTTTTTAGGATGATTTACATACATACCACTCAATTCTTATGTTTTTACTTATCCGGCACCTAAACTTCAATTTTTACATACATGCTATGTTACCTATGCATGAAACTATATTTCACTTTTCAAAAGTTAAAATGGTGGTATTTTTTATGTAATATGAAAAATTTTGGTTGTTTAAATTTAAAAAGTAAAGTTTTGGTGTCAAATATTTAAATATATAGGAATTGGGTGGCATGTATGTAAATGTGACTTTTTTTATATTTGGCATTATCAGCAACTATTTCGGGCAGCAGTCTAATTACATGTTCTGCGCCATTCATTCTTGATGCGTGTTTCATGCCATTCTCAACTCCCGTTTACACAATTTTCAATGCCATTTTTTCAGAAACATTGTGAGTCTGAGTTTCTCTTCTATTATTTCTGTGCTTATCTTCTTAAAATATTGCAGGGCCTGTAAGTGCAGCGCAACGTGAGCAAGGTGCCCCTCATAAGACTGAATTTGCCATGCCGTCTGGTAGCGGAGAGGGTAAGCACTTTTATAACATTGAGGAGAGAATTGCGGGGCCTCCCATGCCCTTCATATTTGACATGATTAGTTATGCTTTCTCTTCCAAAAACTTTAGGGGAGAATGCTCCATCTGAGAGGCACGTCTCCCCAGAAAAGCTCTACCGTGCAGCTTTATTGAGGAGTCGTTTTGCAGATACAATCGTTAAAGCGCATGAGAAGACCTTTGACCAGGTTGGTCATAGAAACGTAACTTTTATTATGAAATTTCTTTTTTATAACCAGAATTTTTATGGTCATAGGGCGAAAAGAAGGATCCTGAGAAACTGAGAAGGGAGAGAGAAGAACTTGAGAGGCGGCAGCGTGAGGGTATGGCATTTGGTTTGTTTGACCTTTAGTAGATTGAATAGTTTCCTGTTTTTATCTTGTCTAACATTTTTACTTACCATACAGAGAGAGCCAGGCTGCAAGCAGAAGCCAAGGCTGCGGAGGATGCTCGCAGAAGAGCTGAGGAAGAAGCTGCCGCCGAAGCAAAACGAAAACGAGAACTTGAGAGAGAAGCAGCACGGCAAGCTCTTTTGCAGGTAAATTGCATACTTCTTTTTTTCCCTGTCGTCCTTCGATTTTGTAGGATGCATCAATTTGACCCTTCACGGTGCCTTGTTTAACAGATGGAAAAGACGGTGGAGATAAATGAAGGCAACTTATTTTTGAAAGACTTAGAAATGCTTAGAACTGCTTCTGGTAAACATTTAACTGGCTCTGCTAATGAGGGGAATCCAGATCTCTCTAATGAGGGCATGGATGATTTTAAGCTTGGCGGAAGTAATCCTTTAGAACAGCTCGGCTTGTACATGAAGGCTGATGATGATGAGGAAGAAGATTGTGATGGGCCAAGTTGTATGCCTGACGTTGAAGAAGGAGAAATTGACTGAATCCAAATCTAGATTTGCACAGTCTATTTGGTAGGTGTTTTGTTTCTACGTCAAGCTATTTTTTGCATTTTCCGTTTTCATCATTGCAAGGTTTAAAATTGTGGAGTTGGGTATTGAGGCATTTTTAGTTGTGGGGTAAGGTGTAAACCTTGAGACATTTTGAAGCATAATCATTGAAATTAATAAATTATGCAAAGCTAGAACTATTGTAATAAATTTAAAATATATACTAAGAAATAACAATAATATTCTAACCCATTAATTCATTAAAAATAACATATTAACATGCTAACATAGTAAAAAAATAGCATGCTAGTATCTAAACATTAAATCATAAAACTAGATAGTTTATACAATTTATTAAAAATATGAAACTTATAATTCAAAATAACTAAAAATATGAAACTTATATTCGATATAATTAGTCTCTCTTCCGCTCTTATTGTTTTTCTTCAAAATAAGAACTTAAAATTCCCTCAATATTGGAATATCTAAACTTAAAAGTCGCCTTCACTTTTATCACTTTATGAGTTTTCATTAGAATTAACGGGAGAAAAGTGTCAAATTGTTCCCGACTATTCGAAATATATATATTGATTTTATAGTCGTTACAAATCCATGCATGATTATGATTACTTCATTTTATATATTTTAACAGAGTATTTTGTTTTTTTTTTTTTTCTGAAAGAGCTAAATTATTATAAATGTTGCTCATTATTGAATGTGAATTTCTACAAGTATATGATAACGAACAATATTTATAATATTTTTGCTCTTTCTAGAAAAAAAAGAAATCAGTCAGTCAAAACTTATAAAATGAGTTGATCATAATTATGCATAATTTTGTAACTAAAAATATATATTTTACTTCTAAAAAATATAATAAAATCAATATATAAATTTAAAGTTTTATTATCTTATCACAAAAATCAAAGTTCATGAATTTCCTTTCAATGAAATTAAAATAGGGTTAGTAGTGAGTTAAATTTACTAAAAAATTGAAAAGAAAATATATATTCCAAGAATACATGCATTTTTAATATCATAAGTATCATTTTCCGTTAGCTTTAATCGTGGGACTATTTCAACAACTATTAAATGAGTTGAAGGGCTATTTTGGCGCTAATTCAAAGTGGGATTAAAATGATCCCTTGCAAACAGTCGGGATTATTTTGGCACTTTTCTCGAATTACTGGCATAACAACTTGCTTTCTTCTCCACCTCATTCACAATTGTGTCTGTGCTCTCATTCTCATCTTCAATATCAGTCATCTTTCTCTTATCTAATGAATGATAATTAATTAGAAATTAATTCTATTATAAAGTAATGATCATATTGATAGTTGTAATTTCAATTATATCAACAGTAGTGAATAATTGGTGTTTTATTAGAGTAAGTTTACTTTCATTCAATTTAGAATATGTATGTGGCTTCGGTCTCATGCAGTAGCCAATGATGCACAAGATTTTTTGCAACTTTTATTTTTCTTAAACCGGAGACCAGTCTCATATCCCACAATTTTAAACCATGCCTTGTTGGAATCATCTAAATGAAACAATCTAGAGTTTGATATAGATATATTTTTTTAATGTCCATGGAAGAGCATCGTTGTGCAGGTTTCTAGCAGGCTTGATGAATTATGCTAAACTTCTGGCTCGGGTGGTGTTGAGGAAATCGGTATTTATTTGGTCAGAGATGCTGAATGATATAGGAGACACTGACGGCTTACATTTGAAAACTCTTTTAAGATGTATTCTGGAGTGTTTTCATATTGCCTGTTTTTGTTGGAGCTGTACAGAAGACAAATAAAACGATTTCAAAGCTTATTTCTTTCATTCTTACTCAGGGTGCTGCTGTTACTTGACCATACTTAGTTGCCTTTTTAGTTTCCAAAATGCTTCGGAATATATATATATATTTGTTTCATTTGTGATATACGGATCTGCTTTGTAAATATTAATTAGTGGCGTGGTAACATATATGTACATGCTACGATTCTCTGGTCAAAAAAGAAAATCAGTCTGGGTGGCTTTCAAGTGGAAATCAGTGTACTAAAGCAGGTACAGCACTTTTCATTAAAATGAATTATAAATAAAGAAGTGGAAATTTATATGCATGACTCACAGTTTCTATGTATTTATCTGTCTAGTAATTATATGTAAGTGCAATTAAATAAGCCCTTGCACTTTTGAATGTAACATTATAGTGTTTCTCTTTTGTTTACATGGTTCACATGGTTAGCTTTGAATGGTGTCAGTGTTGCATGACAAGCAACTCCGTGTCAGTCCACCTAGAGTGATGTGTCATCTCTCTATTGATGGGAGAATTATTTTTTATTGTTATGATTTTTACATATCAATCATAAATTTTAAAAAATTTCTATTTAAATGATTGATTGTGTAATTTAAAAAAGTAATATATTATTTCAAGAAATAGGAATATTATCTTGAAATATATTTAATTATTTATATGAGAAAAATCTTTAAGATTTATGGGACTGTATAACTAAAAATTTCTCTCTACCTTGCGAGTGTAAGTCATGATTTAATTTATTCTTGGGTTTTTGTATTCGTATAAGAGCAGACTCTTATAGTTAATTATATTTTGAGAGTTGTGGACTGCTAATAAAATTCTAACTTAAAGTATTGGCTTGTATTATATAGGATTACAAGGCTGTTGTCTAAAAAAAAAAGGTTCATGATTTGAATAGATTTTGAATTGAGGGAGTTTCAGAGTTTGAAAACATATTTCTTGGAGTTTAAATTTTGGAACTAAAAGTCCAATGACGTCGTGTCGAGAAAAGGTGCAAGAATGGGATTAACCAACTCTATGAAGGTGTAACATGGAGATTGGAATTGTAAGATTATTAAAGGAATTAAGCCTTGATTTGATAGGGTGGATTTGATTGACTTGGTTTGAACGACTTGATTTAAATTGACTTGGTTTGAATAGTTTGATTTGAGTTAACTTGGTTTGAATAGTTTGAATTGAGTTTATTGGGGTTGAGTTGAAGGTTTGATTTTAAGATTTGATTTGAAGGGTTGAATTGAGGGTTTATTTTTATTTTATTTTTTGATTTGAAGATTGATTGAACGTTTTTGGTTTGAATGTTGTTTATAGATTATTTGAAGGTTCTTTAAAGGTTCTTTGAAGGTTGTTTCAAGGTTCTTTGTATGTTGTTTGATGGGTTCTTTGAAGGTTGTTTGAAGGTTCTTTAAAGTTTCATTGAAGGTTCTTGTTGATTTGAGATGAGAAACATTTGAAGTTTGAAAAGTTTTGAAGTTTTGAAGTTTTGAAATTTGAGAAAGGTTTGAAGTTTAAAAGTTTAGAAAACGGTTGAGTTTGGTTTGTTTGAAAATTTGAAGTTCTAAAATTTTTAAAAGGTTTTAATTTTAAAAAGGTTCTGATGTTTTAAATTTTTTTTTTGAAGATTTGATGATTGAAAAAAAAAAGTTTGTGGGTTTGAAAAGTTTGAATTTTGAAAAGTAATGAAATTTGAAAAGTTTGAAGTATGAAAATGTTCGGATTTTCGTTTGTTCAGGCATTTGAAAAAGGTTTGAAGTTTAAAAAACTTTGGTGTCTGGAAAAGATTTGAAATTTTGAAAATGCTTGAAGTTTGAAAAGGTTTAGAAGTTATGAAAAAAAAAGTTTGAAGGTTTAGAAAGTTTGAAATTTGTTTTGAAGTTTGAAAGATTTTTATTTGAACTAAACATTTAAGTTGAGAGGTTTTAATTTTAGGAGCTTGATTTTAAAAGATTAATTTGAAGGTTTTGAATCCTAGACTAAAGGGACATGATTTGGTGGAAGGATTTCTAGATGGAAGTTGAGATTCTAACCCTAAAATAAATTTATACTCTATAAGGAGGCAAAATATGTTGACTAACATAATTTTTTTGTTATAATACACTTTGTCAAGATGCCCATGGCTTTTCGTCTTCTTTGGTTCATCAATATCTTTAGGGTAATAACCGACCATATAGAAAAATGATCTTCACTATGGTCATAACAATGGTGATTGTTGATCTCCTTAACTATTTGGTGATTTGAGATGTCTTAATTAGTAACCATAGGTTAATTCATATTAGGGTACCTACATAGTCTAAGGGGGTTACAGGCTTTGTTATTTTATATGTCTTAGTTCTTAACACTAACTAAGAGTACTTGGTAGGCTTCTGAACTAGACTATTCTAGGAGATGTGTGATCCTGAGTTTCATTTATAAGTTGGCTAACTTCGAGTCCACAGTTAATCTACTTGGTGGTAGTTTTTACTGTTTAAGTTGGAAAGTTTTAAGGGTTTCATAATTTAATTTATGATTTAGTTCAATCTTCTAGTTTATCAGCTAGCATGAAAAATAAAGGTATCATATGGTCAACGTTTTTTTTTTCTAGTTCTCTATCCTAACTCCTATTTGGTTTACTATCCTATTTTAGAAGTTCATAAGCAATATAAAAAAGAAGAGATATCATATGTGATTTGGTTATGCTTCCACTTTTAACATTTAAATCTTATTCACATTATTAAACATTTAAAACTTTATTATTATTATTATTATTATTATTTTATGTATATCATTCAAAAATACTTTTAATTAATCATATGGATATATTATAATATTAGATATATAATTATTCAGAAATTTATTTATAGAATTTGCACTTTACAAACTTTTGCATGGAAATTTATAAAAATATATATGAACATACAAGTTTTGTGCAGATTTTATACTTAAAACTCATATCTTAGATTATAAGAATTTACACACTCATTTATTTTTGAAAAAAAAAATTAAAATTTTACTTGAAAATTTTATTTATAACTCAAAAAAATATTTAAGAACAGTAAGCCTAGAAATTTTATTTAAGACTCAAGAAAATGTTTAAGGAGATTAAGCCTCAAAAAATGAGTAGGATTTTTTTGAAAACATTAAAGAAGTTTTTAAAAAATGGGTTTACAAAAACATAATCGTTTAGAGCTTCTTTTACTTACTCATACAAGTCAAGGATGTTGAATGTTAAATAACTATGGCATTTGACAACTTTGAACATATCAATATAACACATAACATAAATATTGAGGAAAACATATTTCAAACATTCAAGCACTTTTATTAAAATTTGTTTTAAGAGAGAGAAGTGTTTATGAAAAATATATTTCACACTTATAACACATTTACTTGAAATGTTTAGCTTTATTTTAAAAGAGAATATAACACATTTTAACTTCATGAAAATATTTTTTAATATTTTGGATCACATTTAATTGAATTTGTTTATTTTAAAAGGGTTTTAAATTTATTTCAAAAGAAAACATAACACATTTTAATTTTTTGAAAATAAATTTTAACATTTTTTAACACATTTAATTGATGTTGTTTATTTTAAAATGGGTTTAAATTGGTTTTAAAAGGGTGTTAAGCCTTATGTTGTTTTTTTGATGTAATTATATACATGCACTATTAAACTGTGCACATTATTATAACGTAATATATGAATTTTGCAAGTGCTCTTGTCTTAAACCCATAAACTTACATAAGTTTAAAAAAAATATAAACCTAACTCGCATATTTTTGCAATCAACATAAAACATACTTGCATGGAATTTGTATAAAACATAAAACCTAACTTGTATATTTTTGCATAAAGCATAAAATCCAACTTGCATACTCTTTGCATAAAACATAAAACCTATCTTGAATGAAATTTGCATAAAACATAAAACCAAAATTTCATGGAATTTGCATAAAAAACATAAATACAAATGTCATAAAATTTTGGATAGGCCACATAAACACATATTACATGGATTTTAATAAGTACATAAGCCATAAATTACATGAATTTTTAAGTAAGCACAAGAGGCCACAATTTGCATGAATTTTTTAGGAAGTAGATAAAGCCACAATTTAGATAAATATTAGTTAAGCACGTTAACTAACTTGCATGGAATTTAATTGAGCACATTACCAAACTTACATGATTTTTAACAATAAATAAACCAATTTTCATGAATTTTAACAACCACATAAACCTACTTGCAAGAATTTTAACCATCACATTAACTAACTTGCATGAATTTTAATAAGCTCATAAACTAATTTGCATGAATTTTAACAAGCACATAAACCACTCTGCCTGGATTTTAACCATCATATAAACCCACTTGCATAACTTTTAACAAGCACATAAACCAACTTGCATGTTTTTAACCATCACAACAAGTACTCCAAATATATGCCAGACAAGTAATTAATAGAGCCTAAAAGGAAGGTTGATGTGTGAGTGTCTGTAATTTTGACCTAGATAAGAAGAGAGGGTGAAATGGGAAGATGGATAAGTTTCAACCGTGATAGAAGGAGGAGATGCGTGTGTCTATGAATATTTTTTAGCACGTGGGAAAATAAGGAAGGAGAGGGAGAGTTGGAGAGTTTTTGGGCTAAGTAGGAAGAGAAGGAAAGAGATGGGGAAGTGGAGAGATTCTCTTGCATAGTAGAAGAGGATGAAGGACAAGAGAGAAGAAGGTGGAATTTATGTAGGGCTTTGGCTAAGAGAGAAGCCAGGGGAGATATGGTGGAATTGATGTGGGGTTTTGGCTAAGAGAGAAGAGAGCGAGATATAGGATTTTGGCTAAGAGATAAGTGAGGGAGTTATGGTGGTGTGTATGTGGGTGTGTTAATATTTTGTCCATGGTGAAAAGAAAGGAAAGAGAATGAGATGAAGGTGTGGTTTTGTCCATGGTGAGTGAGGGAAAAAGATTGCGGAATTGAATATAGGGTGTAGCGGTTTGATTATGGTAAGAAGAGGGAGTGGGGGAGAGGAAGAGATAGGTATAAGGTTTTGGCTATGGAAAGAGGAAGGAAAAAAATTAGGGGTGATGAAGAGAATTTGATGAAAAAGAGAGGAGAGAAAGGAATTTTAAAGTGGAAGAAATATAAGACAAAAAAAATAAAAAACAAAAAAGAAAAAAAAAACTAGAGAAAAGAACAAAATACATCTAACCTTGCTTGTGTGGATGATGAGCTAAAGTGGAATCATTTGTTCTTGTTCGCTTGGATGAAGGGAGGATACTTTCTTAGGGTTTTG